TATGTATATTGTATATAGTAATAATAAACTATACCTAGTGGCTTAACTAGATACAAATCTAGGGAGTCAAAACAATTTATTCACCAAAATTAAAATCTTGACCTCCCCGCCCCAACAAGGGTTAGTCCGAAAATTAATTTTATGGCTTAGAAACAAATTGTATGTGGCAGGTACTGGGTACCCATATTGTTAAATAGTTTTAATGTATACCATACATTGAATTAAAAAATGCACAAAAACATGACTAGAAAGTAGAATTACTAAGATTGTCAGGGATTTGGTATTGGAAGGAAGTTTAGGAAGTGTGTTTACGATTACGCACATGATAAACCGATATTGATATGTAATTAATTTTTAATACGATTAACCAATATTCCTCTAAAAATCGACTGGTTGGCGGCACCTGTTATAACCTCATATAAAATGATAACTTTAAGTAAGTTCTGTTTGAAATACCATATTCCAGTATCAATAGAATAGTCAATTTTATTTATTTATTATATAATATAATTTAATGGGCATTAACTTTTACTGATTACTCGATGACACAGTAATTACAACTACTAGACGATAATCTATTACACTCTGTACTAAAATAGTAACACATTGTTATCATTGCCTTCATAGAACTGCCCCCAACAATTGTTATACGTAAATAATACAAGCTACATAGTTATTCATTAGTATTTTTCGACTAAAATAGTTTAATGATAATATGAAAACATATTATAAGCATAATAAATTAATTCATTTACATTGCATATATTGAAAAATTAATATTGAGATAAATATTAGGTAACTATTGTACATTGGGTAGTCAAATTACAAAAAGTGGGAAAGTGGATATCGCTCTAATGTACATAAGGTGACTAGATGATCGCTAAAATGGATGGTATTAAATTTGAATTCAATGAAATCAAATCATTGCATACGAAAAACGATTCTGAGCGGAGACGGTATGTCAGTTTAGGATATTTTACATTGTTATTACTTATTATTAATATGGTAGCCGGTAAGTTCAATTAATATTATTCTTAAATAATTAACAGTGACGCTGGAAAAGTATTATATATACCTATGTACAATTGGGCTATTTTGGAACCGAATTACAACAAAATGATAAACGTTATTCTTAAATTTAGGCTTATAAATAGTTCAACATGAGGCAAAATATTTTGAAAATTTTAAGGTGCATAGAGAATGCTGACACAAATATTCAGTGAAAATATTCAGTGCACGAAAATCATTATTGTTTAACAATATCGCTTTGACTAGTCATTATTCGGTCACTCAGGTGAGTTTTCAAACGGTTTTCGATGTTTGCCTATGATAGCTTTGCCTTGTATTAACAGAGCGTGCACACAATATGCACAATATGTATGTTATTAGTATATTTGCGATTCAATACCGCACTTTTTTTTAAGGAGTTTAATATTGATACTGCATGCGTTCACGTCGTGTAAAATATGTGCCAACCAGATAGAAAGATGTTTATGAGATGTATATTTTGTAGCAATTAATGAGTATAATATATTAAAATGATGTCTTTAAATTTACACACACGCACACACACACATAATTGATTTGTATATTAAGTAGATGTTAAATCGTTTTCACTAATAAGTCGGATATATATTTTAGTTACTAAGTCTCAGCATTATCGAACATTTCGTTTGAAATATAAACAATGTTTAACCTTATTATGTATAGTTTTTTTACTGCTATTTGCATAATAATAAACTTGTAACTGTATTTTAGAGTCTTATGTTAAATGACAAATAATTAAAAATAAGCATATTGTGCCTATGACAAACAACACCATTTAAATACTATAAAAAAAATTAAAAAGTCAACTTACACTAGGTACTCGCTACTGAACATAAAAATAAAAATAACTATTCACACTGGTACACCGTTTTAGTCATGTATATTATTATAAAAAATAAAATAAATTGAATAATGTTACCATTATACGTTTTGATCAATGACAATTATGTTTTTTTGCTACACAAATCAATACTACCCAGTGAAATGTTCTATTTAATATATATCCCAAATTAGTTTTAATAGTTTGATACATTATTCGTATAGTTAAATTTAAAATAATAATTCAATTTTAAAAAGAAAAAAACCTCCACCATTATTGAGTTAGAAATTATAAGTTCTGATGTTTGATTGATAGGTATGACACAATATCTTTGTCCTTTGACATGTTATGAGTATTTTTCATAAATTCATTGCAACTGCAATCGATTTTTGGTTTGCTCTGATTCTTCATATCTTTCTTTGGCGTGTCTTAACCAGAAACGAATCGATGTTTTAATCTGCTCTTCGTCACATTTTAATGTCTGCATTACAACGTCTAAAGAAACAAAAACAATTTGAATGGTTTTAGTCATTATAAAATAATACAATCATCATAAGCTACATTTTTTCTCAAAATTCTCAGCAAAATAAAAATATTTTGGAAATTATTTATTTCAATCTCGTACTTGTGAAATAATTACATATACACTTTAGTTTTAGTCTATGATGGTAAAAAAATGAAAACATTGAAAGTTATTTATTAATTTGGAATAAACGTATTTTAGTTACTTTTTGTAGCCTAATTATTAATTTTGGTAGGTTTATTCTTACAGAACTAATTAAGATTCTAATTTTACATAATATTATATTACTTGAATATATTTTTATTTCCTAATTTATAATTAAACTTTAAAACAACTACAAGTAACAATGTTTAATGATATAGTATACTTATTAGAAAGTAACGATTAGGAAAATAGAGCAAAAGATTAACATGACGTATGGCGTAATATATACATAACTGTGTCACTGTTTATATTATTATATTTGGCCTTGGTTAACTCAAAGTTGAAGGGACCGGCCAAAAGGTTCAAGTTATACAGTAATTTAAATATTATCCAATAATAAAACAATAATAGGGAATTCTAGTTAAAGGGAAAAAGTTCGAAGTATTGACGATTTTTAGTTCAAAAAGTCCGAGTTAACCAAGCTCGACTGTATAACAATAACTTGTCATAAAATTAATATAATAAGTAGTAGAAAATATATCTAAGAATAGATAACCTGCCTAAAATGACTTTGTATATTTTTTTGTTTTGAAGATTGATTCTATTAATGGCTTCCAGTGTAGGATGTTTTATGTATGAAGTTGCAGTGAACGTCATTTTGGCTGCTACATTCCTTGTGAACAATTTTGTCAAGATATTTAATATCACAGATTTTGAATCGGCACCAGAATATGATAAAAGTTTAGTTTTCTGAAAGAATATCAAAATATAGCAAAAACAAATAGTACACCAAAGCGTGTTTGTGAATTAATAGTTTCTAAAATCTTAAAAACCTTAAAAATTAATAAATTGGCTAATTATGTCTAACTACCTATATATATATATATACATACTGTATATTTGCACTTTGCTATGGCTATTGCATATAGTAAGAATAAATGAATATCATTAAACTGTAGTATTGTTACAAGTAACATAATATACAGCTTTACTTACTAAAAACTTATAGTATTGTCTTTCAATCAATAACTTTTCCAATTCAACTACATCGTCCAATGTTCTTAGTGGAAACTTCGAAGTAAAATGATTTTCAAATTCTGACGTCACCTTATCTACCAATTTTTCTGCTAATATTTTTCGGTTTTGTTTTTCTAATAAACCGATAATTTTATCTTGATTAATCAATGACCTAGTAACTCTTGAATTCATACCCGTAATGACTTTTTCAATATCGGTTATTTTGTTATCTACAAAAAAAATTGTAAGTAAGTATAGTTAGGTAATTGCACAAAAATACCACGTATTTAGCATTATGATTTATAAATAATACTTGAGATAAACACTAGCATATTAACAAATAAGTAAATTTTAATTACAGATATTTATCTACTAAAATGTCAAGTTATTTTTAATCAAATAATATTTTTTTCATTAATTTCAATATATTTATTTGTATTCAATATTTTAAATTAATTTTATATTCTGAGTGTAGTGATTTATTGTTTTTACATTGATTTATGTTTATAACTTTTTAAAGCAAGACAAATACATTCAATATTGTGAGTGATTTCAAGTTTCTAGTTAATTCTTTAAAAAACCCTGTAATTTTTAAAATAGTAAGAGAAAACAACCCTAGATACTTACCAATACCTAATTTCTAGACGTCATGATACAATTTATAAAATATGTTGGTTGTTTTGAACTGTTAATGTATATTAACAGATACTTAATAACTTACATACTTGACTTTTTAGATTAATTTTAGCAAATCATTTTTTTAAATAAAAAATCTGGAGCATTTAATGTTTATATACTATTCATATTTAATACAAGATCCATCATACTTTTTTCCTAAATAACTATTTAAAAATATCAAAAGTGCGTGGCTAAGTAAGTGTTTGAATCATAAATGTTGACAAATTCGACAAAATCCATAAAAGTTACTGTTTAGTTAAACATACTTTTCTTACGTATTAATGAAGCCAAAAAATACTTTTTAATTGTCAATAGTGTAGGTAAAGCGTTTAACATAACGGTGATTACAGTCTTTTATCTCACGAGGTGCAAGAATTGTAGTAGGTACTTAGGTAATTTACACTTTAAAAGGGTTTAAAACCTTAATGTTAAGAATTAATATTAACTTAAACTAATATTTGTATAAATATTTAATTAAGATACTTACAAAGGATATTCGTTGAATCGGAAACATTTGATGGTGGTACAGGTATACCCTGCTGCGGGATTAGATTATTTTCTATAATTAACAGATATAAGTCACGTTTACAAAATTAATTAAAATATTATTTATACTATAAGTGCTACTAGACTATTCATTTAATGCAAATACAAAAGAAGTATACCAGTGACTGGTGAATCTTTATGATGAATAATGGTCATCATCACAGGTGAAACTATGGAGCAGATCAGGCAGGTCATATATTAACTACATAATACTAACCAGATAACACTGAACACACTGACTTAATACAATTTAAAATAGAAATAGAAAACTTAATTTGTAATTACAATCTTTTTCCATATTTATGTTTTAGCCTGCCCTAATAAAATTGTCTAGTTTCACTTATGATGGTCATCAATAGCCAGGAATGTATTGTTTAAAATGTTTGTGGTTTTACGCCTTTTTTTACGTAGGTGATAATGGTAACAACAAAGAACATTATTGTAGAGAAATACGATTTTTATTCCTTTTTTCGAAATCAATATTTTCTCTGCAGCCAAATTATACAAAGTAAGTAAGAAGTTAAGTCTTGTAATTAACCAAGGTTATGATTTTATATTTCTTGAAGTAGGTACCTACTTATCAGCAAAAAAAAAAAAAAATCAAGAAAATTGATCGTTACTAAATATAATATGGCCTCTATAGATAATTTAAATTGTCTGATGCTAAAAATAAAATTTGAAATTTCCACTCGTCGGTATTGGATATAGTATAATAAATAAAAAAACATAAGCAATGATTAATGATAAATGACTAATATTATATTTTAAATGTATAAAAAAAATAATAGTTGGTATAAACATCGAGTTTATGAGAATTATGAACTTTTATTTGGCCATTGGTGTTCAAAATATTTTTTTTTTATAACTACTCGTACTTGCTATATACTAAGTGTTAATTACAGAATTGCTCATGCGCCACTAAATAAACTTATATTTTAGGCATTTGAGGCCAGACAGCCGTATACCCGTGTAACGCATACAATTTAGTGAGTACCTTATACGTTAGTATAACAATTTAAAGAATTGAGTATACGACCCACTTCCTTCCACATAGAACTGTGACAATAACTGTCATAATTCTAATGACAATAACTGTCATAAACAAATTGAAGTGCTTATTTTGAACGACATTTCTAATATTATATTCAGTTTCGAAGTTGTTAAATTTAGTAAAAAATATCACTGATGAGCGTAGATTAATACGTTGTGTGTACATTAATACGATGAAAAAAATGCAATTACTTGGAGACAAAGTGCTTTGAGTGGAAGTGGCTGGTTTACAGTCGTTGTTGGTATTATCCGATAAGTTTTCAACAATGACGGTGTTTTTTAGCGGAATTTTAACAGTTAATGGTTTTAATTTCGTCGACCCTGAGGAAGGAGTAATACATTTTGATAGCTTGGGTACTGTAGCTTCATTATACTTTTTATGACAATCTAAAATGTATACAATATATATAATACATTATATAATTTTGATATAATTTTGATATCGCATAGAATACACGAATAAATATTAATTACAGTTAATCGTTATGGTTGAACTTCGAGTGGAGGTTGTTGGAACATTTTTGTTAATGTTATCGGCTAAAAGTTCTTTAGTACCGTTGGTAGTACTGTCATTTAATTGGATTGGATCGGTTGGCGATTTTTGCTTCATCGAATCAGACGGAGGTGTCAACAATTTCAAAAGCTTGGGTGCCGGCTCACTGCTATTTTGTTTGTTTTCAATATTTGGCGAGTTTAATTCTCTTGGTGGAAGATAGTATATGTTGGAATATCCATTGCACCGATTCTTAGAGTGAGTTTCACCAATGGAATTGTAATATTTGAACCATGCTAATTTACCCATTGCTTTTTCAAACTCATCTAGGAAATGAAAATAATTTTTATCTATAAAAATTCAAATTTAGTTACTCAACTTTCAATTTACTTACATTTAACATTTATGTTCTTAAATATAGTCAATCTTATTTTTTTAGTGTAAGTTAATTTCATGTAGGTTATATAAATTATAATAATTGTGTATAAATGTATATGTCTCTTTTAGTTGAAAAAAGTTATTTAAAATCATATTTAGAAAACATTTACTAGAAAAAAAGATTTTTATTCAGTTAGCATCAATATATTTTCAAAATACAATTTGTTTATTATTTAAAAATTGATTTAGAAAGTTCTGAAATATTTTCCTTCAGAACTATACATTTTGTTTACATAGAGAGGTAACCAATCATATTTCTCATTACGATATCCTAGACGAACTATGGTGTTTAATAACTTGAAATAATTGTTTCTGTTTATAACTCCCGCTGGATAAAATAAATTGTTATTATTAATTCTCCAGTTTTTAATCTATTTCTGGCCTAATCGAATTGTAAGATAACAACATTTCTGAAAAATTAAGCTCCAGTATTATATGACATTTCTATAATGTCTCGATAAAAAACAATAAATATAAAAATTCACAAATATGAAAATAATGCTCTACATATAACTGGCGTCACTGTACAGTTGTACATTATAAACAGTTGATGCAAAAATGTTGTTGATAATTGAATTACTTAAATAATTAAAACATTTAAGTTTAAATGACAGGTTTTATATTATTATTTGATCATCATTTTTGTTTTATACTATTTTCACCCTAATGAAAATTGAAGTGTAATATGAATAATGAATATGTGATACATTTATACCACATGTCTTCTATAATACACCTGAAAAAAAATAGTCTAAAGACGAACAGTAGTACTTATAATCAGTGGTGCACCCAAGATTCTTCAACGAGGGGGGGGGGGTGTTTAAACAAAGTAAATCGGAATTTGATATATTTTACCTTATACTTGGTCGTTATTTCTATAAACTGTAACTATAATAACCTCTGCAAATAATTGATAGTATGCAAAATATTTCTTTAAACCCGTTTTCAGAAATATCATGGTCTAAACTTCGCATTTTATTATATAAAGTTAATACCATAACACAGTCATTAAGGGGGGCTGGAGCCCCCTTAACCCTCCCCCCATCCTGGGTATGCCACTGCATAATGCATTAGTCAGGAGTGATATTGGGTAGGTAAGCATAACGAAAATGAAGGGTGCAATTAATTGTATTGATACAAGTTATATTTTGTATTAATTGATCATTTAATTATTTTAGTTTTAAAATATGATTCAGACAGCCAAAAACTGAGACACCTACCCATATACATATTTTGTAATATTAAAAAGTATAAAAGGTAAGTATACATAATATGAAAATATTGTCTTACCTCAAATTCTCCATTTCTATGAAAATAATAAGTGTAAAACGTCGTCTGTCGATAGAAGACAAACTAATACTACTTATAAGTGAACGGACCGTTATAATATTTATTGTTTTTGGTTTATGAATACATACATAATATCCTACTCATAAATTGATATACATCGAGGCTCATCTGCCATCAAAATGTAATGTAAAACATACCTCTACGAAATAAACTGCATACATTATTATCACAATAAATATTACATAACCGATACAAGTCTGAACCTCCAACATAATCGAAATTTCATTCATTATTTATACATAATAACAATGGTCATAATATCATATGGCAGTCGCTAAGTTATGAAAATGGGTACTTTTAAGTTTTAAGTTACTTGTTTTTAGCCTCCATCTATCGCTCATATACTGTACAAAATGTATCACTACACTACCAAGTTGACCATTCATCGTACTATGATATATTTTGTATACCATTTGAAAACTTTCAAACAAAAGTAAACAATAATACTACATCGTTTATTATTAGTGGTAGCTCATCAGTTAATAATATTGCACAAGATATGTAAAAGATGGTGAACTAATTACCACTATGCTGCACATTAGGTGTCGAAGTCGAAGTGTCTTATTATAGTATAATTTTAGAATATGTACACTTATGTCTGTTATTTGTTTATTTGATAAATATATAGTAGGTAGATACCTAAAAACGTAGTATACATTTCAGAATTTTGCATTTATACAATGATATTTTATTCATTAATTACCTATACTTGCAGGGCTCATTCACGAGGCTTCTATTTTTGAGAGTTTGAAAAAAAAATAAGTTTCATCATATATTTCTATATACCTATAGTATTATTTCGTATTTGCATAGTATTTAGAATTTTATGTTTCATAGAAAAATAACGAAGGAGTTTTTCATAAATAAAGTAAACATGAATATTGAAATATACAATAGTAATCATTGCTATCCTAATCGCAGCACATCAGTCGTGACGACGCAGTACTGATGGCCATAACTGACTTTTTCCTCGAATTATTAGCACCTAGTAAAAATAATCTTTAATCAAGACACTTTAAGAAATTATTTATTATATTAGTAGAAAATATCATATTGGTTGTCAAAATAATATTTCAGAATTTCTGATTTTGAATTTGATATTATTAGTCGGCGACTACAGTCTTCGTTTGTCGTCGTCTGTAGTACGTCATTAAAAATCGGTAACCGGCCATACCATGACGGTCAAAAATTAAAGTAGTATTACAATACTAAAAATTAAAATAACTAAAGCACAATATAACAAAAAATGTAAACGATAGTGGTTGTGTGTATGACAAGTTCAAAACAATCATCAAAACAGAATTCTTCTATGGATTTTGATAATAGTGAAAATATGATTCAGATGCAAAGAATGTGAGCCGACAAAATAATAAACTGGAACAAATAAAGCAAGTTTGAAGATCCAGGTAATTAATTACAAACCATTATTGATAATATTAACGATTGTGTAAATTACGATTTTTAGTTTAACGGTCCCCTAAATTTGGTTTTTTTACGACCTATGTACTCTTTAACACAAAAAATGCCGAAAATTATAAAAAAAAGTATTATAAAAAAGGTTGCAAATTTTAATATTCCAAACAATGGTTTTAATATAATTTAATTAATGTTGGATCATTATTCATACAAATTATCATTGAAAGTTTTCCAAAGTAGTCTAAATACAGAACTAAAAGCGAGAAAAAAATAGAAAAAAAAAAAAAATTAAAATGATTTTAAATACTATTGTCAATTATATTAAATATTTCGAGTCCTAACGGATATATTACTATGAGATTCGTTGTATTTGTTTATCTTTACATCTTTATGATAAATTTAAAATTGGGGAACATCGTAAGACATAAATAGACGTAGAAAATATTTCAAAATACATATAATATTATTATTTAAGTAATATAATATTATTATTCTCGTTATGAGCTTATGACGTTAATGGGCCCATTTCGTATGGACGCGTAGCATACTTGAGTACACGACGTATCGTAATCGTTGTTTTCAGTTAAATTGGTTAAATTCGTACACGACACTCCGAATATGGCTTGAAAAACAGGTAAGGTGTTACATTTTTAATTTATTTCATGACCAAATAGGTACTAAAAACAAGAGTTTAAAAAAAAAACTGCATTATATACTATAAGTTTAATGGTGAAAACAAAAATTTTATAATCCATACTTTGTAATCATTGTCATTCAAATTACTTATTTAAGGGAAAGTGATTGCTTGCAAAAAATATACATTAAATTATTAGATTTTTTTATTTAACTACTATTAAACGTCTCAAATGAACCAATTTAACTATCATAAGTTTTATAAATTAAAATATTTGTGTTGTTACTTTTTTGCATATTATAGTTTTGAAAAGTTATTTGTTTTGTTATAACTTTTGCGAGTGTATCTTTAGAGAGCGGCTTTGTAAAGTTATATTTGTAATATAATATATAAGTGCCCCTTAAATGAAATAATTATTGGATTGATGAAACTTTCCTCCTTACCTATATTAAACCTACATATTGTAAATAGAATAAATAACAGTATAGATAAAAGACCAATCACTACTCGATGAGATAAAAACTAAAAAGTAAGAAAAAACTGATCAAAATGTCTATTGTAAATTCGGATCCGTTTATTTTTAGGTAAAATGATTGCTATATGATTCTATGTGTTTGATTTATATTAATTTGCCGATATTTCTTTATTTCTATACTTTTTAGAGTGATTTTTATTTTTTATGTTTCTTATATTTTATCGGTTTGAGCTAACAATTTACCTTTTTAATCACCCGAAATTTCCTTGCCGAATTTATAACCAAAATAAGATAATCATAGGCCTGGTTTATATCTGCCCAACTACCTATGAAATAAATTTTGGGACGCATCACGCATGCAGTATAAATGTTATAAATATGTCGCCTAATACCCACTTACACGACGTGCAGGATCTGACGACCCAAAACCAAAAATTGCGTTTTTACAGATGCAGCTGCAGTGCAACACACCCTGTTATAATGTCACCCCATCAATCTCGATGATGTACATTTGTAAAACTCGCAGCTGTTCGTTATTTGCGTCGGGGTTATAATTGAGTATCGGAAATTCATTCGTGTGAACGACAATACAATTAATAACGAAATAGTATTTTATATCACTACAGCAGCAACGATGCATTCACGTGGTGATTATCACCGGATGTGGGAACTGATCCCATCCCCGTCTGTAGACAAATTTAGTGTTTAATCGTATCAAGGGAATTTTTTTATACCTTTGTCCCTTATACTTGCAATGAAACAAAAACCTATTCTTTTTCACCCTTTGGTAAAAAAAAAAGAAAAATATTACATACTACGCCATTGGTTATCATTAATTATCAATGGCATAGGTACACATTAATAATATATACAGCTGCACGTTAGCTATATAATAAAAATAATGTCTTGTCACATCACATCATCGTTGCATTCCATGTGAATTAAAATTTAATATTGGACACACCGTTCCAGTCCCAACTCGTCATCATCAACCATCGATTACAGTA